ATTGTTTCAATCATGTCCTGCGGGGGCCATAATGGGGAATCCAAGTTTAAATATTGAAACAAATAGGAAAACATTTGAAACCATTGTTCTGGTTTAAGGATGAGTCTTTCATGGTAACATAGCGAAAATACATGCATTGTTAGAAAATCTTCTCTTCTGCTCATTGGTATTGTCCTGAGATCTAAGTACATAAAGCAGTTCTCATTTCAACGGGTACAATAAAAGTTTTTCTTTGCGACTACCGTACAGGTTTCTAGTTCTATTATAACAAGAGGCCCAGGGGCACAGCGCTCACTGTGATTTTTCTACAATTTTTAAAAGGGGCCTGGGCCTTTTCAATTGGGAAAAATTGTCGACATTTATGTCAAATTGGGAAAACAATAAGATTGTTACTAATCTTTATATTGACAAGTAAAATAAAATTTATAAGTAAATGTTATATCATTTATTAAATTTATTTGCTTCAAAATGTTTCAACAAAATGGACACAGTTCTACATTTTTAATTTTATTTTTTCATTTTTTGTTCTTTGATTGTCCTATATTTCGTTTTTTGTCATAATGGTAGACATAACCGAGAAAAAAATAATTCCCGATTTCTCGTTATTCTCGCATTGGAGATGGAATAATCTTGACATGATTTACAAACAAAAGTATTGTCGATTTCTGTGCAATGCTAGTATCTGCAGGATGAAGAAACGGTTTAATTTTCGTGAAATCAATGACGCTTGTTGTTGAACTACTAGTCTAGTACTTGCAATTTACAAATAAAGCTATGTTTAACTGATTCTCATGCATATTAAATTTCTTACAATGTATTGACACACATGTTTGACCACATGATCGATGTGTTTTCCAAGTCTTGCAAACACACAAATAAACTGCTGTTTCTGCCATTATTTGAAGCGTCCGAATGACCAAAAACAATAGCGTTCCATTTTAGATAAGTCGTACATAAAAAATTCAATATAACCAAAACAATACGTTTTGATTTTGGGAAAAAAGCAGTTGAAAATTGGGAAAAATCAGCAATTTTTGAGAGGGGAAAGGGCCGATATTCGGACCTAAATTGAGTGTAGAAAAATCACTGGCTCACCTGAGCACATCAGCTAGGAAAAAAGCACACATCATGATCATGATTTGGACTAACTAGAATCTACACTACCTGAAAATAATTCTACATAAATATTATTATTAAATGCATTGAAGTAATGGAAAAGAAGATTTTAAAGGGCTTCCTTATATATTCCTATGAAAATTTTTGGTCAGCCGTTTAGGCCCCACCCTACCCCCGGGGATCATGATTTGAACAAACTTGAATCTACACTACCTGAGGTTAATTTCTCATGAGTTTCATCTTTTCTGTCTCAATAGTTCTTGAGAAGAAGATTTTTAAAGATGTTTCCTTTATATTCCTATGTAAAATTTTGATCGGCCATTTTGGTCCCACTCTACCCCCGGGGTCATGATTTGAACAGACTTAAAATCTAACACTATCTGAAGATTCCACATGATTTTTATCTTTCCTGGCCCTGGGTTTTTGAGAAGAAGATTTTTAGAGATTTTTTCCTATATACTCCTATATAAAACTTTGATCGGCCATTTTGGCCCCATCCTTCCCCCGGGGGTCATGATTTGAACAAATGTGAATCTACACTATCTGAGGATGATTCAACATGAGTTTCATCTTTCCTGGCCCAGCGGTTCTTGAGAAGAAGCTTTTAAAAGAATTTTCCTATGTATTCCTATGTAAAACTTTGATCGGCCATTGTGGCCCCACCCTTCCCCCTTGGGGTCATGATATGAACAAACTTGAATCTCCACTACCTGAGGAAGATTTTACATGAGTTTCATCGTTCCTGGCCCAGTCGTTCTTGGGAAGAAGATTTTTTAAGAATGTCATTAATTTTTCATTAATTCATAATTATCTCCCCTTGGAAAAGGGCGTGGCCCTTCATTTGTAAAAACTTGAATCACAAGGGTACTTTGTAGCAAGTTTGGTTGAAATTGTCCCAGTCGTTCTTAAATAGAAGATGAAAATGTGAAAAGTTAACAACAACGACGATGACGACAACAACGACAGACAACGGAAAATTTTGATCAGAAAAACTCACTTGAGCCTTTGGCTCAGGTGAGCTAAAAAGGGGTTTCACTAGCTATACTATGATGATCCCGAACAGGTAATTACAATAAAATAGGTATCAAGGTGTTGGGAGATAATTGTCGATTATTTTCTCACCTGGAATCAAAATTGTAAAGCTATATAAAGCTATGGTGAAAATATGGGCGGATCTTGGATTTATCTCTTTGAATATCAGCGCCTGACAACTAGGCAAATTATCTGCTTACAAAATGCGATCGGTACCTTTATAAAACCTTCGTGAAAGAGTCACATGACAAGATTCAACCAATCAAAATGCAGTATGGCGACGTTCCATCAATCACAACAGTGTATGACGTCGTACAAAATAAACAAACCCAGGAACTAACAGGCAAAAAGACAAACCTATAAATATGGATCACAAAAGATGTATCTACAATGTATAAAAAGTAAGTAAACAAAATATAGGTAAAACTTGATAAATCACATAAGTAAACTTGCTGAGTATGTAGACGATATCGCGGACGGATAAAAATATTGTGCAAGTTGTATACACATACACAGGTAATCGGGGATAATAATGGCTTAAATGAATAGTAGAACCCACAATTATAACCAACATAATAAAAGCAAGTAATTATGCTTGTAATATAGCATGAAGAAAAAGTTAGGTAAAATACGAAACTAGTGTATATAAAGATGGCATGGCAGCGGATGACTCAAAGAATTACAGCTAATCCACACATTTAAAACTGCTAGGATAACAATTAACTCAAGAAATTCATGCAGATTTAAGATGAAGGGCAATTACTTCATGGTATGTAAAAATAAATACGAATTCTAACATATGTTAGGCTACATCCAGATTTTCTACTCACGTATACAATATGACGTCATAGTAAGCAACATGACGGGAACTTTAGAGATAAATATTTTTAAAAAAATCAATATTTAATGATTGATTTGAGGTTATTAAAACGAATGGAAGCATGCAAATTATTAATATAATTATGACGGTTTTTTTGGGGGGGGGATGTTAAAATTAGCTATATTTATATCACTAGCGTTATATACCAAACCCATGGCGTCATTACTGTTGATCAACATTTGCAGACTGAAAATGAAGACAGGAATTTATGTTAACAAGCAGTTGAAGTCGAAGTTAAAAGCATTTAACATAAATATCATGTGTGATTCATGCGAAATTAATGCTTATGAATAAAATATGCTTCTTTATGTTAACAAATTCTTCAGAAAATGATGACAGAGTTTTTATATTCCAATCAGCTTTTTCCTCTGCTGTTTGTTTTGAAAAAAGATGCAAAAGTTCAACACTATGCCGCATATAATGAAACATGTTTTTCTTTTCATCGAAAGCTCTTATTCCATACTTTTTTGAAAGTAATTCTAGAATCGCAGGTTAACATGAAGTGATGATTTTTTTTTTTTACGATTACATGTTCAGATTGTATAGATTTTTTGTAAGGTTTCATCGGTAAGTGTAGAATAACTGTTTCTGCCATAGGAGTGTGCAATTCTAGTTGCGCTTTTAAAATTCTTGTGTTTCATCTCAGAATTTAACTTGTAACGTGACATATTGGTTACATCATATCACTGATTTCTGCATATTGTTGAAGATGTTCGTAATGATTCGGGCTTTCAAGAGTTCCGAGTTCAGTATATGCCGTATCGTTCCTACGAAGATGTTCGTAACTGTTTGGACTTTCGATAGCTCCTAGTTCTGTATAAGCCAATTGAACCCTATCAAAGAAAATATAGGAGTTTGCAATTTGTTACTTTTAAAGAATTATTAGAGCCCATTGTGAAAGAGAGAAAATAAATTTACGTACGAATCTGCTCCTCTTGACGCATCTGAAAAATAAATATTAGCTATTTTGAACTTGAGTCAATTTTAATTAATTAAAAGAAGACGAAAAAAAGCATTTTTGAAGATGTTCTGAAAAAAAAACTGCAAACAAATCATGATTTCTTAAAACTTGTTCTACGTCCCATTCGAATTTTTTTTTCTAATGACCAAACACAAACTAATCAACCCACACTAAAACTTCCGTCACTGAAAACAGAATTATATCTCTCAGCATAGGTTTCTAAAAAGTGCTTAAACACTTGCCAAATATCTCGTTGATATTTTTTTTATACAAAAAATTATATCATATACAATATATATGCAAATACATGCTAGGAATCATCCTCGGGGATATAAAATTTTGTTCAAATTATGATCCCTCGGGGGAAGCGTAGGGTCACAATGGACGATAAAAGTCTCGCAAAGGAATATATAAGAAAAATCTATTATTATAAGAGGTTTTCTCAAGAATATGATTGGTGAAATCTACATGAAAGGTGTAGATTAAAATTTGTTCGAGTTATTATGACTCCTTGGAGTAAGATTGAAATAAAATGAAGTTTAATCTTATAGAGAAAAAGCCACAGAAAGCGAAAGAAATACACAGTTTGTAAGCATCCCTGGTTGGTTAAGATTTAATTTTATTAAAATCATTGCCCATTTCATAATATTGAGTAAAAAGGTGTAAGTGAAACAGAAAAGCAAACTGCAGTAACTGAGAATGAGAACTCTTTTAAAGTATCCGACCCACATTGCAAAAAAAAAATCAGCGACACTTTTTATAGCATAGATATGTTAAACACTTCCATTTGAATGTATTTACACATTTATAAAAAAGTCTACCAAAGGAAATTTTAAAAAAAGGCATGTTCTTCATTGCCTCCCTTTAATTTTCAGAAATCCATTATAAAATGCCTTGAAATTCATGAAAAGTGATATTAAAAAAATGATTTTTTAAATAAATATATTTATTGACATAATATATTAGTAATACAGAACAAAATAATACAATGTTCATGAAAAAAAACATATCTTCAAGTTAAAAAAAAAATCACAAGTCAATTTTAGTGCAAAAAGGTTTGATTCATTTGAATGCCCGCGTTCTCCAAAAATAATGTGATGTTGAAAGTCTCAATAAATCAAATGCATTGCTACAAGTACATTCTGGAATATAATTTAAGTTTTAGTAAGTTTTACCATAAAAAACTGTCTTTTTGAAGGATAAACTGCCAGACGTGTAAAGACAAATATTATTACCTGCTGCTTATTTCTACTCATGCAAAAATTCAGAACAGATTTGTCATAACAACTTTACTTTTTTCCAAAAAGAGTCATTGTACCCCAAAACGTATATTCAAAAATATGATCCAAATATATAATTTACAAACACATCATAGGATTGTAAGAATCAAGTGCACACGAGGCAAAGCCCATGACAGTTATGGATTGTAAATCATTCTATTGCACTTCTGTTGAACATGCTTATAAAATAATCATTCTAATGCACTTTGCTATTTAACATGCTTATACAATAATCATAAGAATAAACATGTAATAATATGATCCATATATTCAATTTAGAAACACATCATAGCATTGTACATACTGTCATAATCAAGTGCACACAAGGCAAAGCCCATGACAGTTATGGATTGTAAATTATCATTCTGTTGCACATCATTATTGAACATGCTTATAAAATTATGAAAATGCTTACATTCTTGTTTCATCAACTTGTTTGTCAATAACTTTCCTTATTTTAGACATTGTTCATATAAAGAGCATTCTCCTGCGCATCAGATCAACAGAGATATGAGATAACTGCATATGGTTTACACATCAAAAATGAAATAAAGTATAAAAACACTATTTCTGAAAATAACAACAGAGCTTAGGGATTATATCCCCAAGTAATCGCTTATCTTTGGTAACCCTTGGTTTATCTATACAGTTCTTAGCCGACAATACATTCAACAAACCATCCTCTCCATCCCTTTGCCATATAAGTTTCAAATGATGTACATTCAAACCTGAACCAGCAATGTTTTCAGCAGTTGCTGTTTTCAGTACTCCACCTGCTATCAGACAATGCAATGAATCAATATTTCTTGATTTTGTGGCATTAAAAACCTCTTGCAAAAAATTACAATTTGCTGAATAGGAATGTTTGACAAACTCTGCCTTTGTCATGCCACTCTGGTACAAAATTTTTACCAACATATTTACATCATCAGTGGCGTTATGTGAGTTATACGATTCTTTGCAGAAGTATTCTGCCAAGTACTCTTGTTTATATGAACTAAGCTTTGGTACTTTAGAGCGCAACATTGAAAGTGAATCGACAAAAGCTAATACACATTTCAAAAACATATCGCTAAATCCTACTTGATTAATAGCATATGACAAAACTCTAAAGTCAAATACTCTGCCATTGTGAGCTATCAAAATAACACTGTCAAATTTTTTCAAAAATTCAAAAAATTTGGTAAGGGCTTCTTTAATTGTAATAACATCTACATGTAAACCCTTCACAGTCATTTCCGTCCCAGTCCAAGAAATCCCTGTGACTTTTTCCGCTTCGGCAGTAATCGGGATGAGGGGCTTTACATAGCAGGAAAACTTCTCCCCACTAGCCATGTCCTGGGCAGCAATCTGGGTAATGTGTGGGATAATTCCTCTATGGACTGAAAAAATTAACAAAATCAATTGGAACAAATAAATGTATCTAATTGTATACTTTATCTATTCTTTCTGAAAACAACCTATTCAAAACTTTAAAATAAAAATATATACTTACTAAGCCCAGTAGTTTCAAGGTCTATTACAACATAGCTCACTTGGAGGTGAACTAAATTATCCACCTTGGTAAATCCTTGCTTTGGCACAGCTTCTGGGATACTTTCTCTGTCAACATTTGGAGTCATACCCACCTCTAAAATAAAAATTCAATTTTGAATGAGTTTGAAATAAAAAGTACCTGACTGATATGTGTCACCCTCAGCTGCTTCGTTTGCTCCTTTCTGTGTCAATCTCTCCAGTTTTAGTTCCAGTCTACGACGTTTCCTCTGTGGTAATGCTGCTCTTTCTTGCCTCTTCTGTCTTTCCATATCTTTCTTACTGGCATACTTCTCCGTGAAGTATCCTGGAGAGAGTCCATGATCCTTAAATGCCTAAAAAAAAATTAAAATCATTTTTGGGCTAGCTATTTTTGTCATCAAAATAAAGTCACATTGAATACATGTTTTTTTATATACATATATATAAATGATCTTATTACCAAAAAATAATTGAAATCGGCATAAATTATGTCTTTCTGTTCAAATTCTATTAGCATTTCTTCATGTAGCCTGGTGAAGTGACAGTAAAAATGGGTAGTTGCAGCAACAGAACTTGATTATTTTTAGCAATAAACTTCAAACAAGAAGAACCTGAAACACATAGAAAACTAAATCATAAATGTAAATAACAACAAAAGTAACAGAATGAAGAAGTGGATAACAAGTTCAACAACAGAAGAACATAACCAATGAACAATAACAGTTCATCTACCTCCGACAAGTACTTGCGACCTTCATTCACACGAACTGCAGTAGCTTTAACTCTAAAATCTAGAGACTCGCTATCCCCATAATGCAGATGTTTTGGCGCTCTAAGACTTACAGCCCTGTTAGCATGTTCACAAGCTTGACTGGATCCTACGTCTGAATACAGTTCAGCATTTGCAATTACCGGCTCAAAATTTTTTTCAAGCTTTTCCCTAAGATTTGGGTCCTTAAGTGTTGCCTTGTATGGTAAGCTTCTGTGTGAATAAGTCTGGTTTGGTGTCCTCATAAATCCACAGAATCTCGGTAAACACTATGGTCACCAAACTGTTGTGGTACAAGAGCTTCCAAATTTTCCTTCATACCCTAAATATTTCCTTGGTTTTTCTCAAAAATGTATTTAATACACTTAGATAAATGTTGTATAACTTGATTACTGATCTTGGCATCTTTAGAATTTCTAAGTTCATACAGATGTTTTACAATGTTCTTCACACAATGATTACGGTCAAGTTTTTTCTTCAGCTGTACACCAAGTTCGTTGTGTATTCTGGATATTACTGTATTATTTCCATCTCCCTCCACCACTTCTACAGGAGTATCCTCTGATATCATCTCTTTTATTGCTTGTATTCCGGCGGTTGCCTCCATAAGCTTTGATGATCCACTGTGGTTCCATACACATCTGTGTGGGCGAACAACTTGACCAGGTCTATTGCGTTTCCACCACTTACAGGTTGCACAAGTACGGTGTTTAACAATAGTTTTCAAAACTTTATTACCATACTTACTTTTACTGATTAGAAATGTGTGCCCTGTATGTAGATATGTTTCAATTAATTATACATGTATCTATCCTAAATTGCTAAAAAATAAAAAAGCACAGACAATAAAAAAAATTCTTCATACCTGTAAGACTATCAAAGCCTTTCCTCTGCCAACCGTGGTCAGCACAAACAGTCATACCAGATCTGGATTTTGGCATGTACTTTAAATTCCTCTTGGATGTAAAAGTTGAAATGTTGCCTGGCTTGAATTTCCTTTTGTATCTTCTTTGTTTGAGATTAGTACTCCTGTAATAGAATAGCAGACACTTTGTAAAATGAAAGAAAAAAAATTATATTACAATGAGTTGACAATATGTGTGATAAAGTTCAATAGATAACAATTCAGTGTGATAGAAAACACAGGAAAACAATTTTTTTTAAAACTTCTATTTTGTTACACCTTTACTTGCTTTTTGGTTTATAGAAACAAAATATTGATACCTTGTACTTCTACATGTAGTTGGTGTTTCAAATGAAGATAACTGGCAAACAGATTCTGCTTCACCTGATTGTGACTGAGAATTCCTAAAAAAAATTAAAAACATAAAATATTTAACAACATCATTAAAATATTCTGTCAAAAGAAAATGAAAAACGGAAAAAAAACTTGTTTACGTACCTATTACGCTCTCTGTCCTCGCTACCGTCCCTTAACTTAGAAGCAACTTCCCCATCCTGACACACCCTGGTGGTAGTTAGTCTGAGTAATGAAAGGTCATTGAACATAAATAATCCTGCAAAATGTTTTGTTCCACAAAAATTTTGATCAGCTACAATATCTCAAAGTTCTTTCATTTTAAAAACACATACCCATGAAATTGGCCCTCCAGAACTGCTGAACCCAGCTCTTCATCACAAGTAACATGGTTAACAAAGAGAGTCTTGTCCTCCTCTGAACATGAAAGCTCACTATAATAAAACATTAATATTATTGTATCGTCATCATAATTATTTCAAGTGCAAGAACTACTCTAACTATAACATAATATATACATAGCTATCTCTTTCCTCGCTGCCTTCTCTTCTTTCTTTGACAGACTCCACATCCTGGCAAACATGTCTCAGTATTGAAGGATCGCTGTTCAAAAGGAAGTTTATTACAGTGAATATTGAATAATTTAATGTCTCTAAAGTTATCTTCATCTATTTCTAGCACTTGACCACATACCCTTGAAATTCTCCCTCCAGGACTGCCAAACCCAGTTCTTTGTCGTATGATTCATCACATACAAAAGGGGCCATGTCCTCCTCTAAACGTGCAATATCACTAAAACAAGTCATTGAAATTATAAGCACCATTTTGACTGGTAATAATTGATAATAATTGTGGTTTACAAACTATTTACGAAATCTAAAAAAAATAATCAAACCTCATTTCTTTCTCAAAAGCAGTTTTCTTGGCATTCATCATGCTTTTGTCAGCAAAGTTTTCAATGATGTGACCTGCTCTCCTCTCCATTACCTTCAGTTTTTTATGGGATATATATGGGAGATCCAGTGTTGTGAGGAAGTTATTCACTCTCTGGGGTCCTCTAAGGGTGTCAATCATAGCTACAAAAATTATTCATTTTATGAGTAGTTTCTCAAAACATTGAATAGATATTCAATATTCCACTATATATGTATTTCACTTATTTCCATAATTTGAAAAAGTATAATTACAAAAATATATAATTACCTGCACCAAGTTTAGTATTTACTGTAAAGTTACGTTGACCCCTTCTGTTGTGGTCGAGGTATGTACTGCCATATGCAACTCTGTTCAGGGAACCACATTGACTACACTGAATGTATAAATAACCCCCTAGTCCCATCTTCATCTCTCCTTTTACATGTTGTAACGTGAATAAAAGCGTGCCCAAACGACAATGGACGCAGGACTGGAGGCCATTCAGTAGTGAAGTCCATTCCACAATACGCCGTCCTGCTTGCCAGTCCTGAGTTTTGATCTTCGTCGAAGAACTAAGTGACGAAAACCCAGGACAGCAAAGGTCACAACTATCCTGGTTATCTTCGTGAATATGACCAATGGTATAATTGTGGTCGATGATAGTGTCCTGTACTGAATCTCCGTCACTTTTCTTGAGTGGTGGCCTACCTCTTTTCCTTTTGTTGGAAGTATAACGGCCCCGCGTGTCTCGCGGCATTCTATCACAGGGGCCATTGCTGTCTCTGGAGATCACGCTTGCGCGAGATCGGACTTGAATTTGTTAAAATAATTTTTAATTTGACTAAAATATTATATCGTTTACATTCCGATCATTATGACTGAAAATTTGCATACATCGCGCTAAGATAACGTTTTTAAGTTTATTCTGTTGAAATTACGAAAAAGATCGACATGACCCGGAGTGTACCGACATGAAAGGATTTGTCACGTGGTCTAATGTGGTTCGTATACCTTAATAAGAATCCTTGAACTGTTCATTGTTGTTGTTTTTTTCTCTCCATTTTAATTCAGTGATAATTTCTTTCAAATTAATTATTTGCAACTGTGAAAAATTTATTTCGTATTTTTCCCTATTTCCCATATCTCCCTCTCTCTTATAATCTTAAAGAATTGTAGGTATAGGAAGAATTTCGTATGTTAGTTTATGATAGGCCCATATACCCGACAGTCTCGCATCCTTTGCACGAAACATAATTTGGTTGTTCAAAACCTGATGATTATAGTATACTTAATCTGCGGCCTTCCTATAGCAATTGGGAGTGTGTTCTTGAAGAGAAATAGTCACCCTGAGTTTAAATAATTGTGACTCACCCCTACCACTGACATCAGAAGGCAATCTCTGTCTGAAAAGAAAATAATGACGTCAAAGTAAAGTTTTGAAAAAAATAAAATATAAAGGCAATTTATTAAGGATCCTACTCATTAACTAGAATAAGAAAACATACCTTTCATTCACAATGTTTTCACACACTACAATATGAAAAAAGAGGAAACAATTAGTTGTTTTGAAGGGCAACATTCAGTATATGCCCTTTAGTAATCAGTCTCTCTGATATGGATTTTCTTTCCGATAGAATTAATCATCTAATCAGTTTCATTCTATAAACTTAGCAATGAAATAGGAATATCATGATTAGTTATAAAGTTTTGAAGTATCCTGAACTGAGAAAAGACGAACATCTAAATAAACCAGAAGTCTCTGTCGAGACTGTAGCTCTACTGGTTTATACATAAAACATAGGAAGAGAAAAGTAGCAGCTGGGACTTGAAACTTTGAAATAGCAATTAATAGAAAAATGGTCCTTGCCGCTTATCAAATTAAAAACCAATGCACACAATAATGTATCTTAGTATAGCCTACTTGTGTGCTAAGTTATACTGAAATCAGACAAAAACTGTAGGAGGAGTAGCATTTTGAAAGAATTTCACAGAAATTTTTATTTTTAGTAACCATGGCAACATCGCTTATCGAAATCCAAAACCGATGCACAGAATTATGTACCTATGTATAGCCTACTTGTGTGCCAAGTTATATTGAAATCAGATCAAAACTGTAGGAGGAGTAGCATTTTGAAAGAATTTCACAGTAATTTCTATTTTTAGTAAGCATGGCAACATCGTTCATCGAAATCAAAAAACTGATGCACAGAATTATGTAACTTAGAGTATTCTATTCGTGTGACAAGTTTTATTAAAATTGGACCAAAACTGTCAATTTGAACGAATTTCACAGAAATTTCCATTTCTAGTAACTATTACAACACCGTTTATCGAAATCCAAAACCGATGCACAGAATTATGTAACTTAGTGTAGTCTACTTGTGTGCCAAGTTATATTGAAATCAAATCAAAACTGTAGGAGGAGTAGCATTTTGAAAGAATTTTACAGAAATTTCTATTTTTAGTAACCATGGCAACATCGTTCATCGAAATCCAAAACCGATGCACAGAATTATGTATATTAGCGTAGATCTACTTGTGTGCCAAGTTATATTGAAATCGGACCAAAATTGTAGGAGGAGCAGCATTTTGAAAAATTGTTTACAGACAGACAGACGGACGGACGACGGACGCATTACTATCGCATTAGCTCTTCTGGTCTCTGATCAGTAGAGATAATAAAAAGTGAGAGGAGTCGCCATAGAGTAATGAGGATCCCCTACAGACCTGTAAACCGTATGAAACGAAAACTCCTTGTTCTGATCGGACAAAAAGAGTAAGTCGTAGACATTAATGTTTAAATTATGGTATAACATTAGGTCTGAAAAATTAATTACTATTCGACTAACTGATACATTGAAATTCCTGACAAGTCAGTGTATCAACCACTATACAAATTGAATAACATCCTCCCCAGTTGGCCTATGTTCCTCATACTTCAGTAACTTTTGCTTTTAAATTTCAAATGAAGAGATTGTAAATTGATACGATTCATTCTAAACCGATTTGTAATCAATCGAACGCGACTTACTTTGATGTTTCTTTCGTATTTGGACAATTATGACACATCCGACGAGAATGACGACGGTACTAACTACAACACTTATGATGATTGTATATTCACTTTCAGTAACACTAGCTTGCAGCTGACCTGAAAGGGAAATTGGAGGATAAATAAATATTTGTAATAATTTTTATAATTCATAGAGCTGATTTAAAATCAGTTTCAATGTATTTTTTAAAATAAAATTATTCAATATATTTGTTATGGTAAGAACATGTTATAAGTAAAAATTTTGATTTTATATAAAAATTGATGTTAATAATTTTGCATATGTATATATATTTAACTATTTCTTAAACTCGGCTGGCTAAAATTACTGCATACAGGGAAATTTCACCCCGTTTTCTTTCGCCTTCCCTTCATTTTGGCGAATTTAAAACAGGGCAAATAATAATAATATAATTTCTTTAATAAAACTATAACAGAGAATTTAAAACGAGGCAAAATTTCCTGCAAGTGATAAAGGGCGAAAATAAAACGGAGACGAAAAGACCTGAAGATCGAATGCTTTTGTTATTGTCTCCATAGCAAGTTTCCTGGCAGAGCATAGAGCAGTTATCACCAAAACGTCCATGTGGA